ATAATATGAACATGTTTTTGTTGCTAAGTGTTAGCTTCAAATTTGAACAATATGTCAATAATAATAAAAGAAGACATTATTTTAAAATAAATTTTATCAAATAATTTATATATTATTGATGATAAATTTCTCAATTGTCCAAAGAAGGATTCTCAATTAAATTGAAGCTTGAAACTAATTTTGTAGCATTTTGAATCTCTCATGTAAAAATTTTTTAAAAAAATTCTCTCATGTCAAGTTTGTATTCCTAATTTCATTTTATGAAATGAACAATTCCTTTTAGATTTTATGAATTTGTAACATAACATTAATGATTCTCGGACCGCGAAAATAATTATTCAGAGAATGGCATTTTCCTTCCTCATAATTAAATCCTATTTAATTACTTTAATTTTTCAATATACAATTAAACTTCCTTAAACTTATACTCCTATATAAATTTTAAGGGTCATAGATGAAATATTCTCTTTTTGATAATTAATACAAATTCCGTAATCAAATTTGTAGTAACATGTAAAATACACACTAACAAGAATATATAGTATTACAAGAAAAACAAAAAGGGTAATTAAAAAAGAAGAAGAGAGACACAATTTATTTTTACTTATTATTCTTTACTCCTTCTTCAATTTTGGAGAGGCTAAAATAAATAGAATGTTGTACAATTTTTTTTTTCCATCAATAGTATTAGAATTTAGCCCAAAATGTTTAGACCTTTTATTGAGATTTTTGGCAACCATTTCAGTTGCTATAAAGGATAAAGGGGAGCATGAGTAAAACATTTATTAGATTTTTTTAGAAGTAAAAGCTTTATTTGATTATTTTTTTCTTGACTATTCTTAAGCTACTTACTTAACTAGGTAAAAACTTATCATTACTACATCTATAAGTTGTTGGTATGAATATCCAAATACACTTTTACAAATTAAAGTATAAAACAATTTCATATTAACTGAAACTTTTAAGACCTATTGTTATTTCAATTATTTGTAAGTAGTTCATTATTCAAGTTTATCACAAATTTTACATAATTTTTTTTCTTTTCAAATTGCTCATTTTTCTTCTACTAAACTATATATATATATATAAAAATCTCAACTACAAATGAGTTATTCAGAACTTTTGTTTTCAACTTTCTTCTTATTGTGTTGTTGTAATTATTTTCTTTTAAAATGTAATTGTAGGTTGGATTTAATTTTCAAATTAAGTTTGCAATAACATATGAGTTGAGATTATAAACTTATACTTGAATAATCTTTTGGAACAAGAAAAGTAATCAAAACTATAATTTTAGATTGTTTATAATATTATAAACTATTAGATAAATATTAAATATATGTTTATAGACATTTTTTACCGCGCGAAGCATGGATAAGTTCGCTAGTTTAACTATATTTGACAATCTGACTTTTACGTCTTGTGAAATGCCTTAAAAAATTTATATGTATCATTTTAAATGTTAACATAATCAAATTGGAATAAAATATTCTGGAATATTGTCTCTTTTTTCGTTATTCACTTTGTAATTTAATTATCTTTTTTGTTGTTGGTATTTCTTACGTTTACTACGTACTATGTTCACATGCTATTTCCAAAAATCAGAACTCAATCAAGGAAATGAAAAATAATTTTTTTTGCCAAGTAGTAATATTTAAAGGTTGAAAACTAATGGTGCAGCCGCATATAATTAATATATAACATGTTCAACCAACTACTAATTATTTAAACAAACCATTAGGTCGTAACTGATCATCAATTATATATATTTTTATATGATATTTTTTTGCCAAAGCTAAATTATATATATTCCAGTAATGAAATCGGTAGATCCAAAAATTAATATTGAACCCAAACAAAAGTACAAAATACTATACTTAATTTTTTCCGTTCATATATACACATGAAAAGTCAAATATGTATGATACGTTGATGCCCTATAATTAAACGAATATCCTGCCTATCATCACGCTAGGAATAATCGAATATCCTCATTAAACCATGATATATATATATACCTATAAACCTTAAATTTTTCAAAAATAATTATTAAGCATAATTTATCTTGTAACGTGAGGGTGCTTACCATAGAGCAACTCCTTCTTATAAATAGTATATTCGTGTGAGACAACTTTTAAACTCAAAAACAACTTGATTTTATACGGAAATTTGTTAATGAATCACTAAACTACCAACGTCTTTGTACTTTGCTGTTTGGCAAACCTCATCAATATTTTATTGAGGGAAGAATGCTTTTCAAACTAGTTGAGTAACATTCGAAAGGTACCGTTTGATGTAAAATATTGAAAATTACGGAAACTTTCGTAGCTTGCAATATGTCAAGACACTATCCTTAAAAATTTCACTGATATAAATATATTTCCATGATTCAGCAAGTCCCTCTAATATAAAATTAGGTGCATATAATTAAGGAATATTCATTTTCATAGAAAATCCAGTAGAAAATAGACAATTCTGTCTCTTCTTTCAACTCATACACACACAAACAAAAAAAGGACGTACGAATATGTATAGCATAAGTTTTGACTTAATTATCCTCCATATTGAAGTGAAAAGAACTTGAGAATTTATAGTCTAAGACATAACTAAATTCGAATATGAACGTCCACTGAAAAAATATCTTCACATTAATCATCATATATATCCATTAAAACTAAATGTAATCATGACAATAAAGAGCAGGGCGGACCCATGTTATTGCAAGCGGGTTCTACTTCGTTTCGAAATTAACTGTATTTGTAAGGAAAATTACTGTGAAATTCGATATAACTAATAACTTGAATCCACATATTACAAAGTTGTGTTGTGAAGGGATGGTTCAGGGGTTCGAAATCCACCTTGAAGCATTTTACGTTCCTTTTTTGTGAAAATGAATTAGCAGCGAGGCACTTTTTTTTTTCTTTTTAAAGCAGCGAGGTATCAATATTTATACTTAGTAGTTACTATATTTAAAAATTTATATTAGGAGCTAGCTCATAAATTACTATATTTATATTATTATTTTTTAATATATTTCACCTTGTATATTTGTTGTTTTTAATTACCCAAATTCAATAAATTTATATAATCTTGTTACTTTAACAAACATTTACTTTTTTGTTAATTGAATTTTGATAATCTTTTTCCTGGATTTTTGCTAAAACATGCCACTATTTTCGTTGAAATTATATATAGTTTCTTTGTTTACTTTGATTTAGTTAAAATAAACGTAAATAATTTTTTTGTAAATTTTCAAAAAAATTTATCTACTTCATTAAATAAAAAAAGTGTTGAGTTGTAAAAAAAGTTTTATTATTAACAAAAAATGAACAAATAAAAAATAACAAGCAAATCATTTGTTGGGCTCGACATTGTACACTATTGATTATCATTATCGATTGCTATTAACTAATTGATCCCACTTATACAAAATGCTAGATACACCATTAATAAAGAGGATATAAAAAAATTAAAAATTTCCCAACATTAAAATGCAATAAAATAACCATTAAACAATATTTATAGATTATTATTATTATTATTATGAAATTTAATATATAGTTAAATTTTAAAAGTAAAATAATGATGTAATTACCAAAAATGTCAAACAAGTAGTTTGGCAGGACGCACACAAATCACAGTTACTGCGGTGCTTCCTACTCCACTTGCGTCTTCCCAATTTTGTCTTTTTTCACAAATATTCAAAACTCCACCATCTCAATTCGTAATGATCCACTTGCATTACTCTCTCAATTTATTCTATCATTATTTTTAGCATAATTTTTCATATTTATAATATTGAAAATTTAAAAATATAATTAATTACTCTTTTAATTGTAACATCAATAACTATCATTCTTAAAGATTATAAATATTTCAATTATGAAGAAATTAAATTAATAGAATAAATTTCAACTAAGAAAGATTAAATTCTAAAAACATAAATAAAGATATATAACTAAAAATTTCTCCTAATTAATGAAGTATTTTTTAAAAGATGTGTAAAAATAATAATTGATAATTTGAAATGGATGGGTTAGGGTATTCCAATTCAAGATTATAACGATCCTTATTAATTTATAAATTGTGTGTCAAAAAATTGCCACTTGGCCATGAAGGTGGCGGATTCCAGTTTAGAGCAAATATAACTTTTTTGAAAAGAAAAATAAATAAATCTATTCATTATTAGTACTATTAAATGCCCATAGCAGGACTGAATCAAAGTATTCAACACAAAATCATAAACAGTTAATGGAATGGTTCAAAAATCAAATGAGTACTACTTCCTCCGTTCATTTTTATTTATCCAATTAAATAAATTTTTAAGGACAATAAACAAAATGACAATTATATTATATTATTATTTTATATGATAAATTTAATATTTTAAAAAATATATTAAAAATAATTATGATTAATAATATATTACTTTTTATAAACCTATCCAAATAGACTCTTATTTCAAAACGTTTATCTCTTTTATATAGAAGTAGCTGGTCTATTCCCATTGTAGAATGGGGAAAAAAAGTAAAAAATGATTAGTTATTTCTCTATATTATTGATATTATAATTCTTCAATTATTGTCTAGTTTAACTTGATATAAATTTTAAGAAGATAAAAAATTATTTAACTCTTATAATCTTAAATTAAAAATACATAGACTAGATTAAAATAATAAATTACTTAATTTTATGATCTTAAACCTGTCACATAAAAAAAAATAAGAGATATTTTTTTTTACAAAAATAGTTTAGAAAAACAGAAATTTAATAAGGACTTACATATTTAAGACAAAAATATCTTTGCCACGTAATAAGAAATTAACCATTACATTGATGCCATCTAGGTCAACTTTGAGTAACGAGCACAACTTTCAACATGCAGATATGAGTCCCACATGTATCTCAAAAACAAAAGGATTGAAAATTACCAATTCTATAAAAAGCCTGTTTATTTCCATAAACTCCTTCAACTTTATTCCATACTCTTCTATGTATCAGCTCCTAGATCTTCTTTTTTGTTGTTGATATTCTTTTAAAAATTGTTCAGTTGATCAAAGATAAGACACAGGGGCTGCGGCCATTTTTTCACCGGAATCTTCTTTTTTTCCCGGTGAAAGTTTGAACGCACAGCGTTATTTCTAGCTAGAAGTACTAGATAATGTCATGTGAAAAACATCACAAGTTTTTGAAGATTTGTAATTAATTAGTTGAGATTTTTACAGAGATTTTTAATTTGGAGGAAAGAGAAAAACAGAGAAGATGATAGGGCGGGTGGGCTTGTTGTTGGTATTGTTGATAGCAACGACGGCGACTATTGGGGCTGAAACGACGACGTTAAAAGGGGTAAACAGAAACGCGTATGCGACTATGATGTATATGGGAACTCCGAGGGACTACGAGTTCTACGTGGCGACTCGAGTAATGCTCCGATCACTTACCCGGCTAGGAGTTGAAGCCGATCTCGTCGTTATTGCTTCACTTGATGTTCCTCTTCGCTGGGTTCAAACTCTGTAAGTTTTCATTTTTTCCCCTTTTCTCCATTTATTGTCTTTTGGTGTTTTCTGCTAAAATGCGCTGTCCCCTTGGGCGTGTTTTAGTGGCTGTCAGGTATGTAGATACGATACATAACATTATTGCCCGAAAAATATACTTCCCCAGTCATTTTTAGTTCTACCGTTGCAAATGAATCTGGTTATTTTATATTACATTTATTGAAACTCTCATATAGATTCGTACTTTATAAAAATACTTTTGTTTTTGTTTACAATTATGACTTTGCTTGGTATGAACTTTGGCCATATTGGAGCTGGTCTAAAACGCTCATCAATAAATACGATTTTATACGGAATTTAAATTTGAGATTTCTAATTAAAGATAAATGTATCACTTTATTACTTTATCACAACCTTGTTAAGTCAAATAAACTATAATTTTGTTACCTTGATATTTTTTTCAATACTTCTTTCCGTTATTGAATTTTGAATAAATTTGGTAGCACTCTCATCTACTTTTGGGGTTTTGAGCTTGTGCTTGTTGGGCCCACGCCAAGCTGATAAAAAGCCAAAGACTAGATAAGGATTATAATTGGGACGTGGAAGCCATCTTATTTGTAATTTCCTAATTAAATAAGTAAGAAATTTGCATAATGGCTTCGGTACACGTGAAAGGGAGGGGCAAATTAGGAAACTACTTGGTTAATTTTATTTTTGCCAGCTTAAACATAAGCTGGCACGGCAAAGATATTTTATGTGTTCCATGCTATGTGACGATAATCAAAGACGGACATGATATAATTAGGATATTTGTTTTAGCTTTTTTAGGAATACATAATTGACGTGAAGTGATAACACTACCAAAATATTATTTCTCATTTGGTATTTCGTATTTATTTTAGGATCTGATTAATCTAAATTCATACTAGGAGATATATAGTAGGAGATTAAGTGCTTCTTACAAAGGCGACTTTATATTATTGAGGGCTCGAGCTTGAATCCTTCAATTAAAAATGAAGGACTTACCATTGTAAAAAACTTCGATTAATTGGTGAAAATGTGGATAGTAATTATATTAAATTGTTGCAGCATCATTCTTTTTTTATGATTTAAGAATAGCAAATATATGAGTAATAGTGCACCAACCCTTTGGTCTAGTCACCAAAAATAATATCTCTTGGATAAACATATTACCATTGAGTTGAAAATCGTGCATATCTCTTGGCTGTAAAAGAAAAATAGTGACAACTTTGTAGTAAAAAAGTGGTTTATTTCAAAATTATTATAGTGCTATCTGACATATAATAAGTAGAATAAAGAAAAGTTTTTCTGACACAGAGCCAAATTTTGGTTGGATGGGTTGCTTCTAGGTAGTGCACCTTGCCCTTTAATTTGTTCTTTCCACAACTAATATAATATATGCCCACTTCTTCAATGCTTTTGGGAAGTCACTCAAGGCACTGCTGGACCATGTGACTTTGGTTACTGAACTTGGGAACCGAGAATGATACTCTTAGCCTGTTTAATTTATTTTTGTAGTTTTGATTTAACACAGAATTTAATAAAATAAATAGAATTTTTTAAACTTATGGCCTTAATATGGCAGGTGAAAAATTGGTCTTAAAGAGTTCCAAAAAAAAAACAACATTATTGATACTCGAGATAAATTTTATTTCTTGTCACATGATAAGATTTGCCCGAGTATGAACTAATCTACAAGTTCTAATGGTCCATATGTCATGTGTTTATTCTATCTAGTGTATATTAACCCATATTAGTTTATTTGTCTGATACGGATAAGACTACGTACACACCAATCTTGTCAAGCCTCACTTGTGGGACTACCCATAACACATGCATTTGTTATTGTTGTTGTGTACGGATGAAGTTACTAGTTTATTCTTCTTCTTCTTCTTTTTGGTACATTATTAGAAAGCAGAGTAGGCAGATTGTGTTACTTAACAGTAATCAAAAGTGTTTACTTCATTAGAATATTTGTTTGCACTTTGTGTTTTATACAATGTTGCCTTTCGGTAATATTTTAAGTAAGCTTATTTCAGGTTCCCTATCATAGTGGGGACCTAAAGTGGATTCTCATGTTATGTTTAAAAATCTGGCAATTGAATTGTAACTTTATCGTGATTCATGAATATTATATTGTGAAAGGGATTAGCATAAACCAATGGACAATTTTATCTGATAAGTGATCGCTTATTTGATGCCTTTGTAAGGCCTAGCAGTCATTTTACATTGCAACTTGGATAAATTCATTTGTTATGTTTCATTTTTAGCTACGATAGTTTACCAAAGTTATTATTGGACTGAGCCGGATTTTAAATGTTGCGATAAGGACAATTAGGATTCATATAACGACCTCAAACTTAGATGATGTACGTAGTCACTTGTGGGGGAAATGTGTAACAAAGATATCCATGTCATGTAAAAACTATATGAACCTTGAAAATGAAGTAGTAATCCTTTATGTTCTTGGTATGCAGAGAACAGGAAGATGGTGCTAAGGTTGTGAGAGTTAAAAATCTGAACAATCCGTATTGTATCAACCCTAATTGGAGATTCAAGCTCACACTGAACAAACTTTATGCGTGGAGCCTCGTAAATTATGACAGGGTTGTCATGCTTGATGCTGACAACCTTTTCCTCCAGAAAACTGATGAACTGTTCCAATGTGGCCAGTTTTGTGCTGTCTTCATTAATCCCTGCATCTTCCACACTGGTCTCTTTGTATTGCAGGTAACAGAATTCGATTTTCAATAGTATTCTTTTCCTGACAGATTAATTTGCTTATGTTAGCTACTCCTCTTGTCTAACTAGAGATATGGGCTTAGAATTTGAAATCTACATTTTACTTACAAAAGCTAAATTGCAGCCATCAAAAAAGGTGTTCAATGACATGATCCATGAGATAGAGATTGGGAGGGAAAATCAAGACGGTGCAGACCAAGGTTTTATTGGAGGCCACTTCCCAGATTTGCTTGATCGGCCAATGTTCCACCCTCCTCTTAATGGTACCCAGCTCCAGGGAAGTTACAGGCTTCCTCTAGGATACCAAATGGACGCCTCTTATTATTGTAAGTTTGAGGCTCTGAGCATGTTAACTGAACAAAGTTCATCATATTTCACAACAAGTTATAATGATTGTCTACTTTTAATTCTTTAGATCTCAAACTCCATTGGTCGGTACCTTGTGGACCTAATAGTGTCATTACATTTCCTGGTGCTCCATGGTTAAAACCATGGTATTGGTGGTCATGGCCTGTCTTACCCTTGGGCATCCAGTGGCATGAACAGCGACGTCTAACTGTTGGGTAAGATTAGAACCTTTTTTTGCTTTGTGTAATGTTTAGAACCCCTTTTGCTTTGTGTGACATATACCTGAAAGGTTTCTTTGATTGATCATCTTACTCCTCTGGAGATTGTTGTTGCCAATCAGTTAACAAAATGAACTGAAAGAGAACTCCTGTTTCTTCTTTTCGCTGAACATTTCTGTCTTCTATCTAACTGCAGTATTTTATGCAACCCCAACGTTTTTAGAAAATACCATGATATTGATTACTTCTTTCATTCCTGTTACTGAACACGTTAATTTCTTCCTGAAGTGCACTCAGAAACTGCAGGTTTTTTTGTACTTTTTAGTTATAACCTGAGACTTCTTATGCTGACAATAGCAATTTACCTGTTTGGTATTTGGCAGGTATGGTGCTGAGATGATAGCAGTGTTGATCCAATCTATATTTTACCTAGGAATAATTGCAGTGACACGCCTAGCACGCCCAAATTTATCAAAGTTGTGCTATCGCCATGATGATAGCAAGAGTGCCTTCTTACTACGAACTGGCCTTAAATTTATTGCTATATGGTCCATTCTTGCTGCCTACACAGTTCCTTATTTCGTGATTCCTTGTACAGTTCATCCACTAGTTGGCTGGAGTCTCTACTTACTCGGCTCTTTTTCACTATCCTGTATAACAGTGAATGCATTTCTTTTGCCGATGCTACCTGTTTTAGTCCCATGGATTGGGATCCTTGGGGCCCTTTTGGTGATGGCTTACCCTTGGTACAACGACGGTGTTGTAAGAGCAATGGCTGTATTTACATACGCCTTCTGTGCTTCTCCAGCATTATGGATGGCATTGGTTAAAATCAAGTGTTCTCTTCATGTTTCACTTGAGAGGGAAGGATTCTTGCCCAAGATAAGTGAATCTACAGCACCTGCTGGTTCTAACAAACTGTATTGAAAGTCGAAAAGTTAAAGGAATCAACAGGAGAACTAATGCTTCAGAAACATCTCCAAACGTTTTGCTTAGGAGACTTGGAGTCTGCTTGTGCTATCCTAGCTAGTTGCTTCAGTCTGTGCTCTTAATTAGAATGGAATTCTGTGAGTGGGTTTAGAATTGGGAGGATGTTTTGTGTTGTACATGGACTATCTCTGGTCTCTTGAATGTTTCTCCACGAAAAAGATTGTTTCTCACTTGATTTTTTCTGTTACTAAAATGTATGTGGAATAGGTTCTTTAATATTTATTCATGGATTTACGTTATGTATGCTAACAGTGTAAATATTAAGTCCTGGTGAAATAAGTAAAGAACAAAGTATGAGATTATTTATTTTCCTTATTCATACACATAAAGAATTGTCAATGCTTTGTCCAACATCTCGAGAATTTTGAAGCATTTTATGTATGGAAAGGTATGCAATATATGAACACCAAAAAGAAAGAAAAGAATGCACGTCAATGCTTATTAGAAAGATGAGAACCACAATCAAATTCCATACAAAAAATAACCTGTGTTCTATGTATATTGTTTACAATGGTAAAAGAACCAACTTAAGGAGCAAGGTGGACATCAGGATAGTCCCCAGTGTATCTTCACATAATACAGCAGTTCTGTTGGGACTCAAGCATCTCCGGTGATCTGTAAACCATAAGAAGAAAAACTGTTCATTCACAATTAAAGATACTGCTAAACATCAAAACAGTTAAGAGGGGTTGCATTTTCATGCAGATGCAGTGATAAGACATGAAAACAAAAACGTCTTCAAATGAAGAAGAGGGCTCATTTCCAAGAAACATGTGTGTGTTTGCACCAAAGATTCAGAAATCATCAGAACAATGGTGGACAGACTGAGGAATTCTCCCAATCTTCTAACATATGCCATCAATTTTGTTCTTCCTTTACAATGTAGCACAAGGTTCTTTAGGCAGCTGTTTTCGCTTTTGAAGCTGGGAGAGTTGTCACATGGGATACAGTCCAAAGAAAATTTTGAACATTATAACGTAGCTCTCTATAGGAGAGGGAAGAGAAAGGGTGGCTGAGAAGTGTACATGCTTGCTGTTAAGGTTAAAGCAAATGAGCAAAAGAAACCTTATAAAATCTGCACGATTTCATATTTCACATGAACTTTTTACTGTTGAAGCTGAAGGTATTAACAAGTACGTCCATTAACATCCTAGCTGTAAATTGCAACCGTTGTCCAACCACCAAAATACAGTTTTCCTCATCTGTATTGTTTCATTAACTTGCCTCAATAGGTTTTCCCTGTAAATAGTACTCCTTCTGTCGTAATTTACGTGGCACCCTTTGACTTAAGCACAAAGTTCAAGAAAAAAAGACTTCCGAAATTTGTGGTATAAAACAAACCTTAGACATTTGTGTGGCCAACACTTATTTTATTAAGGGTAATTGCGGAATATTAAAGTTGAGTTGTTTCTCATTATAAAAAGGTGACGTTCTTTTTGGGACAGACTAAAAAAAAAGTGTGCCACATAAATTGAGACAAAGGGACTAAGACTTAATATCTCCACCCTTCAGCATCAAGATTAACAGAAATCTTATGGTGGTTTAATCTAAGAGTTAGCTCACATAAAGCGGTATTAACAGTATCACAAGAAAAAAGGATATCTTGATCAGACTGCATTTGAGTTTTGTAGGAGTGGTTCGTTTAGTCAAAAAGTTTGAGCCAAGAGGTGGAACTTTCAGGCTTTGATAGGATCTTATCTTAAGGTAATACAGTTAACACACATGATCTACGCTTAGATCTAAATATAGATTACAAAAGATACTTGCATGCTTTGAGTCCATCATCTTTAGGCAAATATGTATAGGCCAAAAGCTTAAATGCCTACAATCTCCAGGTAAAACAAGGAAAAAGGGCATGATTCCAGCATTTAACTACCACCAATAAATCAACACCCAGACAACTTAATTTGAATGAAATTCTGAAGATGCTGGAGCACTTACAGTTGTCCAAGAGTTGATATATCAAAGTCCGGAGCAAGCTCCTGCACTATATCGTTTGGTGGTTGGCCACATTCTTGCATTTTCTGCATAAGCTCAACAATTTTGTTAAAGTTGCTTGGCTCAGTTTCATAGACTTCGTTTAGATCTCTGATATGTTCATACTGGTGCCCGTAACGTTCATATTCTTCACTGCTTAACATGGCTTTATTGTCTTCCAACCATTTTGGATATCTTTCTCCAATTTCTCTCATAGGTTCATGAAGAATTTCCTTTGAAAGAAGCTGCTGCATCATGGTCTCTACAATAGACTCCATGTCCTAGTAATTAGTCAATCAAAATAGTTACAAATCCATTCCAAACAAGTGAGAAGAAGCAACATATAAGAATAATATATGCACTAGAGTGTATGCTTAGTCCCTACATGGATATTCTGGATGATTGCAGAAAATGAACAGAAAACAAAGGAATTGAAAATTTTAGGAGCTATTCACTACTACATTTCTCATTCAACGCATTCAAATGTTTCATCATGTTCAATATTGTTCACCTCTATTTTTAAGGACTAATGTAATTAACATTCCAATATTGTTCCCCACTCCAGCCAATGACAAAGCTATCTCAGCACTTTGCTCTTAACGGTCCAACATTGTTCTTATCTGACCCATAACTGTACTTCTTTCGCATTATTAAATAGAAAGAATCAAGAAGATGAAACAGAGCATCTACTCAAAACTGAATGTTAATAATCACAACATATTCCTTATCAGGAAAAAAATAATGAAGTCAAAACAGCTAGAGATTGAAAGTAAAGTAGCATATAGATCAATGGTGAAATGAGAAATTCCAAAGTAGAGGGAATAGGACCTAAGAATGTAACAGGCTTTAAAAGGGGCAACTTCTGGCTAGATTCCTCCAATGGGTCTTTAGAAGGGTGGCAGTTCTCTACTTTGGAGGATTTGGTCAAGACCAAACAGTTTGATGAAATTCAGTCTTTGGAACAAGAAGTTTCATTCAGCTTCCTTAGTCCACTGGTCTACATATGCAAATTTATTTATTTTTTTGATAAGGACGGATCAACATATGCGAGTCACACTGATTTATACAATTTATATGTCGGTCCAAGCATACTAAACAGGCCAACTGAACACAAGACTACAACAACTTCCACAATCTGCAGAATGTTTAAAATCATGGAAAGCCTTGAGATCTTATATCAATTCATTACCAAAAGTTTCCCATGCATAGAAGCAATCATTTAGTCAGCTGAAAATACTAATTATGTTTATAATTAAGCAAAAAAATTTCTATTAACTATATCAATATATTAACATCCTCTTTTCTCATCACCCCCTTCCCTTTCCCAAACATCCAGTATGTAGGAGAACCAAATGTCTCATCATTACGTAAATTTTCTGAAAGGGACTTCACACACAACTATGAAGCTTCATAAGAGATGTATATTTTGCAGTTTCAATATTCACTGTTCTATACAACAGCATACCCAGTATAATCCCACAAAGTGGGGCAGTGTTCATTAGAGAAAAAAGCAACAACCGTAAACATTCAAAGAGCTTAAGAAATATACCTGAGAACCAGCCAGCTCCTCAAACTGTTTGACCCAATCCTCCATCATTGGATCACTTCCAAAGTTCTCCACACCGGGTCTCGGCCCTGCCACTGATTCCAATCCTTTAACAGCTTCTCTAGTCTGCTCTCTAAGCTTATCAAGAGCTTCCGAGACATGCGAGTCCTTTGTCTCCTTGGCAGCCTTTTGCTTCCCCTTCTTCTTAGCTTTCAAATCAGGCAACGACATCCCAAGCCCTTGAACCTCACTAGGCATACAAGAACTCTCTTTCTTTCCCTCTCCATCCCCATTTCTACAATCAAAATCAACCCTTTTCAATCACAGCTCAAAATTCAAACCCCATTAGCTAAAACATAAGTAAAGATTTACATGCCATAAGAGAAAGCAGAAAAAACCTTTGAGAAGCAGAAGTGAGATTGAGGCTCTGAAAATCATCCAAAGCACCTAAAAATAATGAATTTCCAATCAAAATTCAATCCAAATTGACCTACATCTTCTCCTCAAATTCAAACACTTATCCTATAACTGCTGCTTTCGGTGTTTTATTTTTTGAAAAAACATTAATATCAAACACTGTGTTCACTCCAAAGCAACTGACTCTATATGCAAGAAACAGGTTAATAGAAAGAAATTGGTCGAAAAGGGTAAAAGGGTGTGGCTACTTACTGTCAAGAAGTTGGTCTAAATCATCAGAGTGGTCCGTAGCCATGGATTCCTCTACGCTCTGTGTCTCCTCTATTGCCAAAATCTAATCTTTTTTAATCAAAGATTATGAAAAAAAATTGAGATTTAATTTATATAGAGTGTGTGCGTGAGGTATAATGACGTATTTCTTTGGTGGAAAACCCAACAAAAGGGGAATAGGGTTTTGCTCAGAAAAAATGAGATGATCATATTTACAAAATAAAATAATACTACCATTAAAGTTAACGAATGTGAATGTTATATATTGGTCTCGAGTTCGAGAAGTTTTATGGTGGAGTGATGAGTATTTTTTTCATTTTTAATTAAAGATTTTAAGTTCGAGAAAAGTGTGGAGTCGCTTTTGTTAGAATGTGGTTTACCTTCTAATGTAGAATTTCATCGAATCTAATCAGACATTTGAACACCAAGTGAAAAATCAATATATTGCATAAAATAATAAGAATTAGAATTAACAAATGTGGTTTGGAGAGAGGAAGAAAATACTCTAATAAGGATTTCAAATTCGGTAAATTAGTAAGATAAGTGATATCGATAGTTTTTAAATGTTGATGGATAAATCATATTTAAGAAAGGAAGTTCAAATTCTAAATAATCTTTGTAAAAAGTAATAATTAAACATAACTTCAATATTAAAATTTTTAATAAAATGAATAATATTTGATTTTCTAAACGCCTACTTCTCATTTTAAAAATTCAAGACAAAATTACTTTATAAAAAATATTTTATTCTTAGTAATTGTTCTTGAAGACTACAAACACCTTTATCATAACATATAAATAGAGTAAATCTTCAATAAAGAGAAATTATATTTTTCGACATAAATAAATCAAACACTCCTCCACATGTAAAAATTAAAAACACGAAAAGTATTCTGAGACATGGAGAGTAACATAATTCGATCAATTTGTACCTAATAAAGTATTAGTATATATATAATCATGATGTTCGAATCAGCTTACGTACACCTTAACTAGTTTTACCAAATACCAACACATAATATATTGAATAATTGTGTCTACGAGAACTTAAACATATAGAAAAAAAAAGCAATTTGTGTTTTTTCTCCTATTTTCATTATCTAAAGTGATAATTACTGCTTATCTGAACAAATGATACTGAAAATATTTTTTAGAACTTGATTGTGCTTGAACTGAGAATTAAATGACTTACATAAACTTCTTTCTTGATATTTCCCTTACGCTTTTTAAAATTGCCTGTATGTTCGAAATCAAACATATATTTTCAAGAAAAGAACATTTTATTTTATTTCTTTACTTAAGATGCCATATCTTAGGGAAAATCAATAGCTTAAAGTGAAATATTACCTTATCATCAAAATTATCAGTTCTCTTATTTTTCTCAGTAGTATATTTATCAAAACAAGAAATACTAATGAGAAGCCTTGTATAGTCAAATCTTGTTACAACTTGTAATAGCATTTCACTATAATGACTTAATCTTTCCAAAAACAAATTCTTATGTTTTATTTTACTTTCTCTATAATAACATTCTACCTTTGCTCTATAATAATAATAACATTCTACCTGTAATAAAGTAATTGCATTCCAATTTCCATATGGTGGTACACTCTTTGTCAAATTACCTTTACATATCAGTCATACTAAAAAAATTGTGTAATAATTATCATTAATGACATGTAAATTTCAAGTCTGAATATCTAAAAGAAAAAACTATATTTAAATGGCATATGTCAATTACAGTCATAACTTCACAAGAAAAACTACCGGTGTTTGCCTTTTTATTTTGTTTTGGTTAAATTGGTTAACAAATACATTCCTTCTTCTTGGTAGATAAAAATATTAAACTATTTTTTTTTTGTTTATAACAGCTAAATGAAATCTAAACATCAAACTACACCTTAATTCTTCTCTAAGCATTTTCACTACCAAGGAGGCAGACAATAACAGTAACAGTAACTACTACGTTCTCAGACTTGAGTAAAATTACTTCTGAACTTGTTTGAGTAAAATTACCAGCTGGCTTAACAATTGTAACTTTCTGAACTATCCCCGTGTGTGAAAGGGGGAGAAGAAAACAAGCCAAAGCTCGCGCCTAACAGTGAGTCATATATGTAATTTTCACCATCTGATCAGAGGTGGATTTTTTAAAGTAGGAAGCCAACAACATCAACTGCAAATGGACCGTCGTCACCTGCTGCTAACCTGCAATTACATGATCAGATGTAGTAGTCACCCAGATTATTCACAGATTGGGCGTCATTTCTCTGCGCATTGCAGGTATAGTTGTTACCTTTCTTCCATATCAATTCAAACTGACTCCTGCAATGCATTCTAGTGGTCAATATTCAGGAAATTTCTTACTTGAGGGTTGGAATTTTTTGCTAAGAATCAGAAACCACACCTGTCGCAGAAGGCACAGCATTTTCATTTTGAGGAAGAAGAGAAGCACCAGCAATGGGATCTGAAGCTTGAGCACCATTCAAAACTTGTTGAGCACCCTGTGAATGGTGTAGGGAATTTGTGATGGGATTAGGCGGATAAATTGCTTGAAGTCCTGCTTGTCCATATATAGGGTGGTGACCTTCAACACACTTGAGCGCTGACTTGTGCTGTCTACCCAAAAGATGTTGTCTCAGAATCTCCCGTGTATCACATTGCACATTACACAGGTCACACATCAAAGGAATTGCAACATTAGAATTGGAAGGTTCAATCGCCAGCCTCCTTGCTTTAGAAGCTTTATTTTTCTTCCTTCCACCAACTAATGTCTTACGTTTCACACTGGACCTCTGATTTCCAGATTGATTCATCATAGGTTTCTTTTCCGGTGAATCTCGATTTGCATCTTTAGGTGGATCAGCTTGTTGTGCATTATTGATTTTCTGTTCAGTTACTAATTTATTTTCAGAAGATGAAGTATCTAAAGGAATATTTTGTCGTGGATTCTGCTGAGTCTCTTCTTCCACAAGCAAGTTATCAGGCTTCATGTCTGTTAAAGGAATATTTTGTGGTGGATTCTGCTTTGTCTCTTCTTCAGCAAGCAAGTCATCAGGCTTCATGGCTGTTAAAGGAATATTTTGTGGTGGATTCTGCTGAGTCTCTTCTTCCACAAGCAAGTTATCAGGCTTCATGTCTGTTAAAGGAATATGTTGTGGTGGATTCTGCTTTGTCTCTTCTTCAGCAAGCAAGTCATCAGGCTTCATGGCTGTTAAAGGAATATTTTGTGGTACATTCTGCTTAGTCTCTTCTTCCACAAGCAAGTTATCAGGCTTCGTGGCTGTTCCTGGTTCTAAATCACCAGAAGGTTTCTGCACATTCTCGACATCACTAACAGTTCTGTTTTCATTTGCTTCCAATTTTTCCAAGTTCCTTTTGTGCCGCTTTCCATTCAAGTGCATCTTAAGGATGCCCAAACAACCGCAATCAACATTGCACAGGTCACACCTACCAACTCCAGCAGAATTGCTAACTTTATCCCCCCTCCTATCACCACCTTTACTCTGACCATCACCCCTCCTTCTATCACCACCTTTGCTCTGACCATCACCCCTCCTTCTATCACCACCTTTGCTCTGACCATCACCCCTCCTTCTATCACCACCTTTGCTCTGACCACCACCCCTCCTTCTATCACCACCCATCCTTCTACCACCACCCTTATCTAATGATTGACCAACCTGCAGAAGTAGCCTCATGTGAACATTCAAGACTTCAACAGCCAGTTCCAACAAAATGGATTATTAAAAGTGGTGGAGGAAATGGGAATGTAGCTAGATCTGCAAAAAAATCTAATGGCCGTGTGATTATATATCATATCACACAAACCAGAAAACTTTACAGCCTCACCCCTGGCCTTGTCTACATTGCTAAATAGTTACTCCATCATTGCACATTTAATCAAAAATTTGACACGATAAGACAAAATTAATTGTTAGCACTATGGTCATGATAAGAAGAATAAAGCAGACTCAAAATGAAAAAAAGATTGACCATTTGGTAGAATAGGTAGCAACTCAATGTATATGCCTATATGGATGGGTTCTGGTAAATGGAAAACATTTATCTCATAATATTAAGTTTTAGCAGAACAGTATGATGGCAATAAGTAGGATTTAAATGTGTATCACGTGGATCTATTTCATTTCTGTCTGAGCTAAGCCTGCCAAACATTTTTTTACTTCCATGAAGAAACTCTCTCCACATTCTTGGCCCTTCTTTTCCTGCTCAAGGTTGAATCTGAACTAACCTTTAACCGTTCCAAGCAACAGCAAGAATAGGCTACTCGAATAACAACTACCAGTTTTTATCTTCTTCTACCTCACCGACACTTAAATTTCACCATTTTGACTGGCATAATAATCTCAAAACAGCTGAATTTAGAGCATTGTTCACTAAGTGTATTTTCAAAGTATAAAGTTTCCACGGCACTTTCACCTCCACAAGCACAGCCAACCATTATAGAAGATGTTGAGACATTGTCACATCTCAACAAATGATTAGGTGTTGCCACATCTATATAAATAGGGAATGTTTTTTCCGTTCTCAGACTCATGAATCACATGATATTCTATCACGAACCAAGACGACGCCCAATCTTGTCGAAGGAAGAAAATCCAATAACACAACCAATAGCATTGCAAATGCAGTAAGTACAAGGGCGGATGACTGGTCTACTTGAAACTTTAGTAAAACAGATTTTAGGTTAAGCTAATCTCTAAAAGCACATGGGCATGGTCTACAAGTAGCTTCTTCTATCATAATCCCCTCTAATGAATTCTTTTAGCACCCTATTCTTTTCAACAACTAGAGCTCGACCTGAAGTAATATAATTGCCGACTAATAGAATACTTCACATGACTTTTGAGTAAAAAGGTCACAAGTTCATGATTGCAGACATACCAACAGTTGTGTTAGAAAATTCAATACATCAGAAAGCCAAAACAACCCACATGATTACTCCAACAGCTATAGGCATGCTCATCAACACTTGACAGATAGACTCCTACCTAGGAAGATGGTCTGGTACATTTTCTTACTCCTTCCCCCCTAACTCCATCTCTCATGGTGTCCAACACTCGTCATGCTTTCTAGGCCATTGTCCTCAATCTATTAGTAATCGAAGATAACTACTTACAGAAGTCCAAAATTTCAGTTGCTCGGTCATACAAAGGCACTTAAGAAAGATTCGATAAGAACTTCAACAATGCAAAAAGGAACGACAATTTCTCTGTAATTCATGCAGGAAAAGAACTTGTGAATAATTCAAGCACGCATTCTGCAAATTCCTCTACACATGGTGGATAATAAGTTCTGTAAAACCTGAAAACCACTCTAAAATCAAGATACAATCGTCATGAAGTAAGAGAAATGAAATTCACATATAAGTCACTGCTGTCAAAGGCTCTCTTGAGGTGCGCTTAATCCAAAAACTAGGTGAAAAATAGGTTTTGTGCTTCACCTCGTCTAAGCTGTGCTTTACTGCAGGCACTAAGGCACACACCTCATTGTTCACGAGCTCTGCCTAGAAGACAGAGCCACCAAATAAAATCATTTCACCTAATTGTAACTTTTTCTATTTGGTTTTCTACATAACTGTGGTTTGGGCTTACAGTTATTTTTCTTGAACTACCTATATTCTTGCGCTTTTATTCACTAAAGTCATTCTTTATAATTGCATTTTCACATAAAGCCTTTAGCTTTGCGGCTTTGATAACACTGATATAAGTTATAACATAGTTCAGAAAAAGGAGAAAAAAAAACAGATTGCTCAAAACACGAAGACGAAATACTTATTACTTGACAGAGACGACTTACATGAGAATGCAATCCAGATGGCCCCGCCCCATTTCCAGGAAATGCACCAGATCCCAGACCCGGACCCGAATAGGCACCCGGTCCTCCAATCACGGGTCCGAACCCTTGAGCCTGGGGGTACCAACTCTGGCCGTGCAATCCACCCGTGGCAGTCAGCCTTGCCGCTGCACCCACGGAACCAGCTAACTGGTTCAACTGTGCCAACGCTGCCACAGGATTCATCCCTAGCCCAATCCCGTCTGTCCTTTGGGGCAAGTGATAACCATTCTGCTGATTCGGTAACTGAAAGTGCGGTTGCCCATGTGATGCCGAAAAGGGTTGAATTGAAACCCCTGGCGGATGAATTGGGGGTTCTTGATGATTCCATTGTTGATGGGCTTGTGGGTGTTGTGGTGGATATGAATTTGAATAATTGGGAGGGTAATACGATGAATATTGTTGTTGGGGTTGTTGATGATGATGTTGCGGCTGCTGCTGCTGTTGTTGATGATGATATATCTGCGGCTGTTGTTGTTGATGTGGGTCTTGATAATTGGAGTAATATGATTGACGATCATAGGCTTGAAAACGAGATGGGTTGTAGGATTGTTGTTGGGATGCAGGATAAGAAGGATATTGGTTTTGCTGAGATGAAGAAGAAGAAGAATCCATGGAGCTTTAGGGTTTATTTGCTTGCAGCTGTTACGATTTTTATCTATCAACCAAGAAAGACAGAGAAAATGATTTCTAAATCTGAATTCAAATTCCGGAATACTAAATTATCAAGAAAACAAACGGGCCACTATAAAATCATAGAGAGAGAAAAGCCTAAAATCGTCCCTCAAGTTTACGCTCTCAAGCAAAGTCGTCCCTATTCTTATCATATGAAGCACAAGCAGTCCTTTTATATTCATATAATTCGTATACACATGGCAAATTGTGTGAAATACATATGTTCTATATGTCAAATCGCGTGAGATTTACTACATAGAACATGTATATTTACTTGTTCAATTTTATGATAGTTGAAGTGTAAATTATAGATGTAGGTTCCTTAGCAATATTTGTAGCCAATCGTGTTTAGGAGATTGCTTATGAATGTAGGTACCTTACTATTTTTTGCATACTTAAAGGGCCGTTTGTGCTTCATATGATTTAAAATTTCGACATGGACTTTGATTTAGAGCCCAAACATAAAGGGACATTTTTGAGTTTTTTTTCTCAATCTAAGACATGTCTTCTCTTTAACTTCACCAACCAAGGAGGAAAACATAAAAATTCAGGTATATATATATATATATATTTATGAAGCTTCTCTAATTTATTTATTTTTAAGACGTGATAGTTTAAGACTTCCTAAACTCTATATCGTTCATTCAGTGCATACCTAAATTTATTTCTATCCTAATTATTAATCTTTAAATTTGGCATTTTGATAGCTTTCCCCTTTAAATGATGACATAACAAAGAGGATATGGTGTGTGATGGTGTGAGGTTCGATAGAAAATTGACAAATTAATTGTCAAATCAAATATTTTTCTAACAGTTAATTCATAATTGTCATATAGATATTTAATGATTTATTTTTTTAAGTATATTTCTTTTTTACTTCTTCTTAATTAGAGAAGGATCCACGTAAAGAATGAAGAAACTGCATGTGCATTCGTTAATTTTGAAAAAAATCGATATAAATATGTGTATATATCTTGACAATCTTGTGATTGTCAAGACTCAAGATAGTTGGTACAATCTCTTAGTTTCAATATAATTCGGATTATCACTCTTTGGAACTCTTGTGATTTATTGGTCACCATTTACACCCCTTAGGTCCAGGACCTTCTAGCCCTCCACCATGCCAAGTTGCCAACACTCTGAATTGTCGCCTCAAGTATTGATCAATTTATATATTAAATTAGAAAAAGGTTAGAGAGAGGCGAGCAAGATTGAAAGAGGCGACATAGATATAATTGTATTAAATATATATATGATCTATAATTATATCGCGAATACAATTGATTTGTATCATTGAATATAATTGTATAAAATATTATTGTATTCGTTGATATAAATTATGTGTATAAATGAATTTGCTTAACAAATACAATTTCTATCAACAAATACAAGTTGTATCAACGAGTACTATTGTACTAATGAATATAATTGTATTAGGTTAAGTGTATGAACGAATATAGTTTGTATTAACGAATATAATTGGATCAATATTGTATATCGTAACAAATTGTTTTTATATTCATTTGTTGTCTTGTGTATTTGTATTTATGTCTTGCGGTGTGTGTTTGTATGCATATTTGTCGCCTTAAGTGTTTGTATTTATATTTGAATATATGTTACCATTTGTGTCTTGAAAAAATTACCATTTATATTTATACTAGATAATGGATCCCGTGTCAGCACGGGCCCAATATATGTTACATTTTTTGTCCAACAATAGTTATTTAATATACTAAAAACAGTTGTTCATTAATATTTGTCCAATTTAGAAAATCAAGAGATAATTTATTTTTTTATGTCTATTTTACCTTTATTATTAAATATTATCTAGCATCTAACACATTTCTCAAAGTATTAAATTTAATAAAGTGAAAGGATAATATAGTAATATTACCCTTATTTATTATTGTTTCTTAAGGAGTGTGTCAAGTCAATAGTGGACAACTATTGTTAGACAGAGGGAGTATTTATTTTGTCTCAATTTATGTGATATAAATAAAATTTTGAAAGTCAATTAATTTTTTTTATGATTTGTAAATTTTTTAAGTTATTAATTATTATAATTTATAGCACTTTGATATAATTTTTAGATAATATATGTTACTCCTTCTATTCCAATTTATATGGCATCGATAGAATTTCGAGAGTTGCCAAATTTTGATATCTTTTATATATTTTTAATAGATAATTATTATGATTTATAATACTTTTAAGTTATTTTTAAATAAGATATGTTATTCCATCTATTTCAATTTTGTGACACGGATAGAAATTTTCATTTAATCAAATTGCACAATAATAGTAATCCAAGTGACATACAAGCCGGGCTCACAGGTTTAATTGATATAGTAATAATTAAGTTAACACTAACATTAAAAGCAAAGAAGGGGTTGTGTCTTATTCAAAGAGCTACATGTGTCTCACAAAAGGATGAATTGACAAAAGTAATCCCAGATTGAATATTAATTCCAAACAATAGACATGTTGACGGAGAGGCGGTAGCTTATTCTCCTTAGTGCCCATTAGCACGGACTCAATATCTGTTATTTTTTTTTTTGTTCTCATTTTATGTAATATAGATAAAATTTAGAGAGTTAATTAAATTTTAATATAATTTTTAAATATTTTAAGTTGTTAATTATTGTGATTTATAGTTTTTACGTAATTTTTAAATAATATATGTTACTTACCTTGTCCCAATATATGTATCACAAATAGAATTTCAAGAGTCATTATGTTGTTAATAATTGAGATTTGAGATTTACAATACTTTTTATGTAGTTTCTAAATTAAATAATACATGTTACTTCTTTTGTCCCATTTTATGTGACACAAATAGATTAATTTTATGAATCAATCAATTTTTTTTATAAGCAATCAATTTTTTATATGTTTTTTAAAAAATATTTTTAAGTTGTCAATTATCATGATTTATAGTATTTTTTGCGTATTTTTTAAATATATAAAAGAATTAAAAAATAAGACAAACAAATTACAATAGAGATTTTTTTTTGCAAATATATATGCAAGTGTGGAACCACACAGGTGAACCAGACATGTTGACCTTCACCTGTGTGGTTATCCACACTTATATATAAGTAGTAGATATATGACTGAAATATATAATTTGTATTTTGAATCATAGACAAGGATTTGTATCATTGAAATATCGCATTAGTATTTGTATTACTGAAAAGAACTTGATAATTGACAATTACTATTTGTATTTATATCATTGCACATAGGGGTGTTCATGGTTCGATTTGGATCGGTTATTGATTAAAATCAAAATCAAATCAATTTAATCGGTTTTTAAATTTTTAAAACCAAACTAAATCAAATAAAAAAAGTAACCGTTGGTTTGGTTCAAATTTTTTGTTTTTTCGAATTGAAAGTAATAAATTAAATTTGTTGAGAGCATACTCATCTTGATAGACACAAACACCTAATACATGAATAATTCTACATATACGTTATTATGGATTCAATTAAGCAATACTAGAGTTATTATTACACAAATAAAGTGATTCGATTAAGAGAAAGTGTGACAATCTAATGTGACGTAGGGTAAGTAAAGATTAAAGTAATAGATTTTGATGGACTTGGTCTTAGGGTTTTAATAGTTAGGCTAAAATTTAAGTGTTGGGCTTGAGAAAATGATAAAGGGGTAAACTACATACATCCCACTACTTTACATCCCAGTTACTAGGAATCCCATTAGTTTTCAATATTACTTCCTATACCACTTTTTATTCCTAAGATACATGGGTAATAATCCTTAAGATACATGACTCTATTAAAATTTAAAGGAGGGATACATGTTTTAAAAGAGAGGATACACGTTCCTTAATTAATTTGAATTAATCGTGGGAGATAATCCCTTAAATGAAGGAGTAAGTTATGGGAGATATAACAACCATAACGTAATTCATGACTCCATTTCATCATCAACGATTTATATATCAAATTATTTTCTGAACCTCTTCATCTTCTTCGTCAAATTAAGATTCTTTTCAACCTTTAATTTTTTGAATTTTCTTTGATTATGGCGAATATCACAATATTGTTGAGGCATTCCGGTTCATAGGTATCTGAAATTGAATATGAAAATTATAGAATTGATGGAATACTTTTGAGAGATAATGCAAACTACAACAATCTAGTGGATGGTATTTCAGCATAATTAGGAATCGATTGTACTCGAAAAAGAATGGAGATCAGATACACGATGGAAGATAATCTAACTCCAATGGAAATCCGAAATGAGATGGGCATGAGATTTTTTATGGAACTGTAAAGACGTCAAACAAATTGCGGGGTGTATCCATTGTGCATAACAACAAAAGATCACAATTTTGGATGTGGCATTAATGGTGAAATTGTGTTTGAGCCAGATACATCAATTGTTCAAGTTGGAGGTGACGACATGAATGTATCTGCCGTAGTTCTTCCAGAGAATCGTAGTGTAGATGCATAATGTATTTTGGATATAAATTCGGATCATGTTATTGGTGACTGTAGTCACAAATTTGTTCAAGTCAAGCAGTTGTATAAGGACTAGAAGACTATTGTGGTTGTTATGCAAAAATATGCCATAGACAATCGATTCCAATACAAGGTTGCAAGATCCGACAAAAAGAGGTTAGTCATGTTTGTTGTTTTAGTGGTTGTACCGTTACTGTGTATCTGGTATTATGTGTAGAGTCATAATTTATATTGTGTATCTCGGACAAATAATTTATACCACATTATTTAAAGTAACAATCTAATGTTTAAAAGTAATGAAGTTTAAATCATATGGATCTTATTATGCGTGTATCTAATATAATAATGTTGAGCAGATATATGAAAATAAATTTGCCATAATTTTATAGTGTATCTCGAACAACTAAACGACCTGAAAATAATGTAGTACATATACATGAGAAAAATGTCTACAGATTTTATATTGTGTATCTCGTAAAAATATTAATGTATCTCGAATTTGGGTAGCATATATGATTAGTTGGGCATGTATCCTTTTTTGTTGTGAGTAGCATTATAATGAATTCAAAAAAATGTTAAGTTTCATTAGTTTGTATCTTATATGTTTAATAATGTATCTGGTAGCCTCAACTATTGTAAATGAGTGCCTTTGTATGCAATTATTTTTTGAGATGTATGTCTGAGGAGTGCCAATGGGTATTCAAAGCATCATATTTGAATAAGACAACTATTTTTTGAGTAAGGTGTTTCAATAACGATCATACATGCCCGTTAAAGGATAAAGCGATGTCACTGCGTCAAGCAACAGTTGGTTTAATAGCTGGAATGAGATACAAACTTTTTTTGTGATAGGGGAAGGAAACGTTTAATGAAGAAGAAGAATGGGTAATGGTGGGATACGTGAGGTATCTGTTTTGGGATTGGGGAGGGAAACGACTGAAAAGAATAAAGAGAAATTAATTTGAATTGTTAGTGTCCTACTAATTGAGGAAATGTAATTTTAAGATAATTATACATTATCATATTTAAAGGGATTGTGTATCTGATTTTTTTTTTTAAATATGGTATATTTTTAAAAAGTGGTATTCCATGTAATATTTTTAAAGTAGAAATAAAATATGCATATGTGGTAGTTAAGTATGTCTAGATAGGTAGTTTTTCCTTGATAAAGTTAAGACTTAAGTTAATTAAAATTTAACAAAATATTTATATTTTATTTATGAATAATATATAAATAATTATAAAATTTATATATATAATTTGCCGGTTCGGTTTGGTTGCGGTTTTCTTTTAGTAAACCAAAACCAAACCAAACAGTATCAATTTTTTAAAATTTAAAACTAAACCTAACCAAACTACACCAAAAATCGATTTGGTTCGGATTGCGGTTCAAATTGATTTTTTAATCATAACCATGAACAACCATAATTGTCGATTATTTGTATTTATATAAACAAATACATATGTGACTTTATTATATTTTATCAACTACATAGAAAGAGAAAGAGAAAGAGAGAGGAGAGGCAAGCGAGAAAAGTTAGAGAGAGATGCGAGGGGGTTGGGAAGAGAGGAGAGAGAAATTTGTTATTATCCTAACTATAGCTATATATGAGTTATAACACCAAATTTGGTGTGTGTGTATGAGAGAGGAGAGAGAAATTTATTATTATCTTAACTATAGCTATATATGAGTTATAACACCAAATTTGGTGTGTGTGTGAGAGAGATATATGGTCGTTTGGTGTGAAGGATAACACCAAATAGTCCTGAGATTAAATTATAGCGTCACTTAATTTGTTGTTTGGTTGGCAAGTCCGGGAGAATTTATCTTGAGATTAATAATTAGTATCGGGATAAGTTATTCCTCCCCTTTGGTGGTAAAGTAATCTCGGAATAACTTATCCCAGAATAAAATAGGTAAATGAAAAACGTATCACTTTAAACCATTTTTATACATTACTTTTCATGAAGGTCATTTTTATAAATAAATAACTTGTTCTTAAAATTTATGTAATGCGTATTATTTTGAATACAACAAATCAAACACTCAATAAAAAAGAGTCCTGCACCAAAACGGAACATTTTGAACCCTAAACACCAAAAGGGACCCTCTCTAAAAACACAAACCAAAATGGATAGTTCCCCATTTATGGGCAAACTACAACTACCATCTTTTAATGTCGTAGTCCTTGTTGACTTCAAATTCATCCAAACTAATATTACACAAACCTTAAAGATTGTTCACTCATTTGTGGGCGAACTACAATTCTTTTTAATAACTCCTCACCTGAATATATATCTCTTTCTCAATACATAAATATATATATATATATATATACATCATTTTTTTAATAAGCGTATATTTACTCTAAATTAAAAATTTAATAGATATATTTACCCTTACAAAATTAGCTAGTGAATGAGTCTAGTTTAGGTTCCAACGCATCGTATAATTGTCAAACTAGCAGCCATTCTTCGGAGTCGTTGGAAAATGAATGCAAGGATTAAAAGGTGATGCTTATTCGTGAAAGGAGTTTTCGTTGGTGACCAACAAAAGCACTTTGAATACTTGTGGGAATTCAAGGGCGGAGTGTGTTCATCTGAAATTTTTTAATAAAAAATTATGTACATTAATTTTACTTTTTATGGATATATTTTATCTAAACACAAGTCTAGATGTTGACTTATGATATAAAAATTCAAAATTCATCTGAGATTTCAAGCTTTAATCTCAAACACTATATTTTTATTTTTCGAATCTTTAATAAAAATCTTAGATCCATCCGTCAATATATTGTTCTAAAATTAATTCATCCACTTATAACTCAACCCAACTTTTTAATTAAGGGAGAAAATATAACGTCCATCGTGCCGCACTTGTTGATAGTGAATAGTGATTCTACTAGTCTAACCATTAATTAAGATTAAGTGTTTGTCATAATCGATGTTGTTTAATTTAATGAACTTGCTAATTGAACTAACTCTTTTATACTTGGTCAACCACTGTGTTTCACAATTCAAAAAGCAAGGTGTGCCATAAATTTTGAGAACTTGTAAGTTGGTTTGACATAAAGTCTTTTGTGACCCCAATGTTTTGTTTCATCAATTTTCATATTCTTTCAGTCTTTGACGGCGCAACAACAATCACACCATGTTTTTTTTATTAAAAAAAAATTGTTTTTAATTTTCTATTTTTTATATATATATATATATAAAATTTAAAATTCTAAATTACGTAAATGAGAATTTATGGATTTGAGACATAGCGAGTAGTCGGATCTTAGCAAGTCAAATGAAATGGACATATGCGTAGCTGGCTTTGGCATGCGACGTGATATCATCGAGAAAATGATCAAAATGGTCCTTGATGTATAATGGTTGTTTTATGTTGACCCTTAATATATTTCACATGATCTATATGGTCCTTGATGTATTATAAAAGATGATCAATTTGATCCTTTGACCTAAAACTAACAGATACATCAAAAAACTCATGTTAACTTTAACATCGGGTCCCACTTCAAAATAAACCGCGAAAACTTTCTCATCTCCTCATAAGCCATAGCGCCAAAGGTGCCCTAATTTTCTCCATCTTCATCTCTTTGAAGTTTCACTATAGAATTCTATATGCAGTAAAAATACTTACATTCTTCTTTATTACCAAGAATGTTCATCAAAAGAAATGGTGACAAAGAATCAACTCTATATTATGGTAAGATTTTTGTTTTTAGATTTTATGTTTTGCGTGTATTTTACTACTCTGCTTGTTGTTTCTCTTATGACTTCTTATGTCTCTGTCTAGGTAAAAGTATTGTCTTTTGTTAGTTTTGAGTTTTTCAACAAATGCATAAAGTTTTAGATAAGGGTCTCAGAACCTAAGCCTTTAATCTCGTAAAAAATATTCACTAGTGGTCCCAAAAATATTATATGTAGGTGGTCCTCATAATTTTTTTTTACAGATCCGGTGTTCGAGGCTGGATTTTTTAGTATTAAAATTAATCATATGGGACTAATGAAGCATCAACCAAGGAAAATTTATGTTGGAGGAATGGTGGACTATTTTGATTATGTTGAAGCAAAAAACCTTAATTTAGCAGATTTGAAGCAGATGGCTGTTATGTGCGGCTATATGAATGACTCGGAAATATTTTGGCATAAATTTGGAAAGTTCGGTGATAGGTGGAGATTAGTGTCTACTGAAGTAGAAGCTCTCTCAATTAAAAATTTTATCCCGAATGATAGAGTAGTTGAGTTGTATTTTGAACATTTGGACTCCTACATTGAAGTAGATTCAGGTGAGATTCTAGGCCACACAAATTGTACATTAAATCAAGAGCATATAGAATGTGGTGACACATACAATTCTGATGAGTTTGAAGATTCAGAAAATGAATTATCCGGTGACGATGTCATCCTTGAAAGACATGGACAAAAAAAGCAAAGCTTTGAGGATGGAAGGAAACTTATTAATGACGAAGTTCTGAGGAAATTGTCTAATGAAGATGGAGATTCAGATTGTGTGGACTCTGAAGATCAGAAGAGTTTGAATGGTGATTCTGATAATGAGTGCTTTCATTTTCCAAAGCATAACCCAAAAACTGAAGCAAAACATCCTATATTAGCATTAGAATATACATTTGGAAGCAGGGAGGAGTTCAAAAATGCGGTATCAATTCATGAGGTAAAAGCTGGGAAGAGTATTAGGTGGATAAAAAATGATGGAAAAAGAGCAAAAGCGAAGTGTAGAAATTCAGATTGTAAATGGGTAATTATGGCATCGGTAATGCATCGAGACAAGGCATTTCAGATTAAAACTTATGATTCCAAGCATACCTGCAAACGTTGGAACCATCGTAACAAGACAATAACCTCTTCTTTCATTGCAAGAATGTATCTTGATGCTATCAGTCAAAACAGAGAGTGGAAGTTGTCTGACTTTAGAGACACGGTCAGTGTGGGACTTAAAGCTCATGTTACTTTAGCTCAAGCTAGAAAGGCTAAAAAGAAGGCACTTGCATTAATTGATGGAGATGTGAAAGAACAATTTTCCATCCTTTGGGACTACTGCCTTGAAATTGGAAGGTCAAATCCTGGAACTTCAATGTATATGAAGCTAACTCAAAACGAAATGCCGAACAAACCATATAGATTTCAAAGAATCTATGTTTGTTTTGTTGCTTGTAAGGAGGGGTTTAAGGCTGGATGTAGAAAAATATTGGGTGTGGATGGGTGTTGGTTGAAGGGTCAAATGTATGGATATCAGTTGTTGACAGCAGTTGGCTTGGATGCCAATAATAATATTTTTCCAGTGGCCTATGCAGTTGTAGAAAAGGAAACTAGGGAGACATGGTCATGGTTTTTGACCTACTTAATTGATGATTTGGAGATTAATGATCAAGTTGATTGGACCTTTATGTCGGACAAACAAAAAGGTCTCATTGAAGCGTTTAATGAAGTTTTGCCATCCGTGAGTCATAGATTTTGCGTGAGACATCTTCATAATAATTTTAAGAGGGCTGGTTTTAGTGGTTCCTCGCTAAAATGTGCGCTTTAGGCTGCTGCAAGTGCTACAACTGTGGAATTTTTTAATGCTCGCATCAATGACATTGTTAAATTGGATGCCGAATCTGCTATATGGTTGAAAGAAAAGGAACCTATTGAATGGTCTAAATCACATTTTTCTCCCATTGCTAAGTGTGATATTTTGTTGAATAATATGTGTGAATCGTTTAATAGTATGATACTTGATGCTCGAGATAAGCCAATCATCACTTTGTTGGAAAAATTAAGATATCTTCTTATGGCTAGATTACAAGCTAATAGGGATAAAGCTGATAAATGGAATTCTGATGATATTTGCCCTCGGATTAAGAGTATTCTGCACAAAAATGAAAAAGATGCTGCTGGTTTTATTCCTAAAAAGTCGAATGAATGGAACTTTGAAATTCTTGGCGGAAGTGTGAGCGACATTTGGGCTGTGGACCTTGCTGGCAGAAAATGTAGCTGTAGAAAATGGACCATTACAGGAATCCCTTGCAAGCATGCTATTTCGGCAATTTGGCATAAAAATGACGAGGTTATTAATTATGTGGATGACTGCTATAATGTGGAAATGTATAAGCGAATCTATGAACCAGCTATTCTTCCAATAAATGGTTCACAGTTGTGGCCTAAATCAGGCAAGATCCCTCCTTTGCCTCCAATCTTTTCAAGACAAAATAAGTCTGGGAGAAAGCAAAAGTTGAGAAGGAAAGAACAAGATGAAGTAGGATCAAGTAGAACTAAGATGAAGAAGAAGCAAACATCAGTTAACTGTAGTCGATGTCACAAGTCTGGCCATAATACGAGAACTTGCAAGTTTAACTATGTACAGCCAGAAGGAGGAGTTTTTGAGTCAGCTTGTAGGATGCCTTCTACTTCATTTGTACCTGAAAAGTTGCCGGTAAATATTTTTATACCTAAGTAAGTTAGCTTGAAATCTTAAAAGAATCTGATTTTTTTCCTTCTACAGGTTAGAAGAACAAATTTTATCCATGATGATAATGTTGCGTCGTCCGACATGAATATTTAATCTGGTATCTTTTTTATTTGGCCACACCTACTCTTTTTTTTGGGTTTATATATTAGTTAATGGTGATTTTATATGTTTCAGAAGGATAGCTATTTTGAAGTGGCCATATTTTTGTTGATTATTTGATAGCTGATTGAAGTGGAGAATTTTTTGAGTTTTTGCGGCTAACTGGTTGAAGTGAAGATATTTTGTTGGTTTCATGCTAGTAGCTGGTTGATGTGAAGATATTACAAATTAACTTTAGTATTTCTTTTGTTGCTTTTGTTCATATTTTTGAATTAACTCATGTAATGTGATTTTGATAAGTTGCGACGTTGAATCTAAAGGATCTATGCTCTTACTTCTTGTCCCCTTATTTCAAACCCAAAAAAAGCCTTGATCGATATGAGAAAGATGTGATCGTATAAAAATTGAAATAAGAATCTTGGAGTTGGACAAATGGTCCCAACCCTTGATAAGCACCAGAGCTACGTAAACTGTTTTGCAAGCAAATAGATCTTCAAAAATTGCATCACTTCCCTGTTAGTTATCATTGTTTGCTGCCCTTACAACAACATCAAGTATCATAGATATTTCACCTTGGATGTATCTACTTTGAAGTAACTTTTTTAAAGCTTAGAATCTATCAGAAACTATCTCTCTATCTTCACAAGGTAAGGATAAGATCTACGTACATCATATCCATTCCGAACTTCACTAGACATGAGTGTGCTCATTAAAAGTGCACCAGATGTGCCAATACTTCACTAGACATGAGTGTGCTCATTAAAAGTGCACCAGATGTGCTAATAAAATGTTTCAATGCACCAAATTTTTCCATTGATTATAAGCACATATGCTCAATTTACATTAAAATTCTCAATATTGATGCACCAGGTATTCTCAATAAATGCACCAGATATGTTCAATTTGCACCAGATTCTACAATGACAAGGGACCAAATTTTTAATGTAAAATCTGCACTTCAATTATAAAAGCTAAAGCACCATATTTTTGAGAAAAGAAGTTGTCTATACAATTACATACACTAAAGATTACAGATCAACCTATGGAAACTGACTTGCACGATGATTCAAAAGATCAAATCGCAATTAGATATCAAATCTAGAGTAGAGTCATACAAGATAATATACCAACACACATTCTCTCTACTTTTGGCATTAACCAATTTGCTCTTCATTTTTTTTCACCTTTTCGTTCTCTTTTTCAAGCTCATTTCTAATCTAGAGTTATCGACTCCGTCTCAATCTTCCTTTTCAACTAATGTTATCGCATGATGCTACTGTCCATTTTCAAATACTTTCAGCTTCACTCCGTTTCTTTACTAATTTCGAAATCAAAAACATTGATCGTGAATCAATTTCATCCCTTTCTAACAGGGCTTTGATTAGATCTTCTGTATGTATCTTAAAAAACAATCAATTTTTTACACAACAACAATGAAAGACTTCCAGAATTTCTTTCTATTAAAATCACTTAGCATCTTTGAATTGGAGTAGCAATTGGGGATTCAGAGATGAACTAAAATGAGAAAAACTTCATCTTTCTTGACATTTTGCAGTGAAATTTGTGCTAAATGAGAAGAGAGAAGTTTGCTTTAATGGTTGAGGAGCAAAAAAATAATATCCACAAGCTCTTCTAAAACAGATCCGAAAATGGAGAATGAAGGGGAAAGAGAAAACTTTTGAGCGTTTTAAATTTTGCATGTGGGACCCGACGTTAAAGTTAACCTGATTTTTTTGATGTATCTGTTAGTTTTAGGTCAAAGGATCAAATTGATCCTCTTTTATAATACATTAAGGACCATATAAGTCATGTGGAATATATTAAGGATCAACATAAAACAACCCTTATACATTAAGGACCATTTTGATCATTTTCTCTGATATCATCAAAGTTGCTTCTTACGGTCGGCGCGGCTAAATGTAAGGAAATATTAATTTGTTTTTAAAAAAGATGAAAAATGGGGTGGGGGAAATTGAAAAAAGATTATAAAGGTGGAGAATCGAATTTTATCGAACAAATTAAAGGTTTAAGTAGCCACTAGATGAGATTTCCTATGGCGGTTTATGTTTAATAATCATTTTTAAGATGCACGTAAATAAATTACAAAGATATTTTTCAAGAAAATCATACTCCCTCTCTGTTCCTAATTACTTGTCCATTTTTCCTTTTTTATTTGTCCCTAATTACTTGTTCATTTTGACAAATCAAAAAATGATTTTTTTTACCTATTATACACTCAATTAATTACTTTGAAAAAAACAGAATTTCTTGAAAATCTTAAGTTTTTAATTCATCCACTTCATAATTAATAGGGGTAAAATTGTAAACTCACTATGTCAATCTATATATATATATATATATATATATATATATATATAATAGGAGAGGTGATAGCGCTTATGTGTCAACGCCACAATTAATCTCTAATTTTCAACTTTTAAATTATCAATTAATAAATAACTAATTTGTTTTTTAATAAAGAAAAGAAGTTACTTTTTTAGAAGATAAGTTAGAGTTTTTTTCATTTAATAAAAATTATTTGTTTTTTTCTTTAAAAAACGTTTAAAAAAATTAGATACATTATTGAATTTTGATTTATTTTTTAAAAATAATTAAACATTGATTGACAAAAAGTATCTACTATATAATAATAATAATAATAATCATATTTCCACAACCTCCTTATTTATAGCAAAAGAAATAATAATAATAATAATAATAATAATAATAATAATAATATTAATATTAATAATAATAATAATAATAATAACCTCCTTATTTATAGCAAAACAAATATATAATAATAATAATAATAATAAAAAACTTAATTATTAAATTAATAAAATTATTTTTGAAAATCACGTAAACATAAAAATAAACAATCCTTGTAATACTATTTATTTTTTTTAAATGACAGAATAGATATTTTTAAATAATGAATCACTATTTTATTTTTAAAAAAGATTTAAAAGCAGTTTTTACAATTAAAAATTAATTTAATTTTCGAATTGGAAAATATAAAAAAATCTGAATAATTACAAACAGAAAGCCAAAAACTGAAATATAAGAACACAAATTAATTTTAAAATGAAAAAAATCAAACAATTAAAAAGACGTTTAGGACTCTTTTTTTTTTATTTTATAAATAACAAGACGTTTAGGACTCTAAAAAATTGATTACATATAATGGTATTAAATAATAAATAACTATTTTTTAAATGAGTTTAAAACCAAACAGTTCTAAAAAATAGGATTTTTGTTTTGGTGCATTTGTAAAAAATTGACTTTATCTTAAACAATTGAGGTTTTTTAATTCAAAATTGATTATAACTTCTATTTACAGTTTTAGAGTTTTAACATTTTTAATAGTGTATTTTAAACATATATATTTGCCTACGTGGACATAAAAAATAATGCAAAATTATAAATAGTAATGTGTCCACGTGGACACATATATACCTTTAAAATACACTATTAAATAGTTAGAGGGTAAAAATACGGTATTAAATAGTCTAGGGAGGTAATAGGTCCTCATGAAAGTTTAGTATTGCAACAGCAAATCCGACCAAAGTTAAGGTATTTTTCAGACCCTTATCCCTAACTTATAAGTGTTGGTCGAGTTGATAAATCTAAGCGTGTGGGTGCTAGAAGTCCCATAACAACATTGGATGGTGCAATTGATTTTTTATTTTATTTTTTGTGTTTTGGGCTATTATCACTTTATGAACTAATTTTTGTAATTGAGTTGAAATTTTTATATTACATTATTTACGTTTCAGTTGGCAAATTTAAACGTATAGTAGAGCGTTAGAATCCTCACATCAGTGTAGGATAATGCACTTGGATTATTTTCACATCATAAACTAGTTTTGGATAGATTTGATATTAATTTCTTTATCACAACTAATATCATAAATGTTTGTGGTTGTACACAAATAAATAATGTCTTCGTTCGTTCATTATTTTTATTTGTTTATTTTAAACTTGTATATCCTTTAAGAAATAATAATTGATATGAACATTTAACCATTGTATCATTTCGTATTAGATCTTGAAAAATAAATAATTAATGATGCTAATTATAAGAATAAACATGTAAAAAAATAATTATTTTTTCTTGATATGTTACTCAATCTTTTCTTTTCTTTACTAGTAAGTCCTAAATTTGCATCTCCTCCTTCCTCCCCCACTCCCAACCCAAAAAAGGGACATAAATTATGTTAAAAGAAAATTCTTGAAGGATGGGAGCATCAATTGGCTTTTACTTTCATTTTCTTTTATATTAAGTATGTTTACTCCTATATAATCTATAGAAAACAGAAAAGTAATTATATATACCAATAAAATAAATAAAGTTGACCAAGAAAATAAAAACAAATTTAAAGAAGTTGACCAGCTTCAACGAAGCTTTATCAATTACCGCTGGCTTTATAACAAATCAACTACTCCCAACAATTTATTGACTAGTTATCTTTAATCTAATCTTTATACAAAGCCAGCCACATGTTTCTTTATAGTCAAATAAATTTAAGTACTATAAATTATTTATAGGATAATTAACTCATCAACTTAAAGTTTAAATGAAAGTACCATTTCAATTTTTCTATATATATATTCAAAATTTTACTAAATATATAGTATAATATTTAGCTCGAAACTTAATCAATTGGTTTGGTTACAAGTCACCTCTTTGAGTCGAGAGTTCAAGTTAATTAGTGGCCTAAAGTCCAAAAATAAATTGGAGGGCTTAAATTTTAAATTATTTTTTATTTTTTATTTTTGAGATGCAAAGTTATTATTTTCTTTTTATTGAAAAAACTTTATTTTTCATATATATATATATATCATTTTTTTTAAAATTTTGTGATCTTAAACATGTCAGGTGGAAC